AAAAATACTTATATGGTATCCTCGATACCTCTCGAAGCTTATTTATTATAATAAATATAACAACATAATTTAAGAATGTATGGACATATTTATCCTTTTAAACTATTTCCAATCTTATGGAGACGTTTCTTTATAAGAAAACTTAAACATGAGTTATAATCCATGTATGAGTACCGATTTTCAAACCAAATAGAGAATAAAGAGGAACTCTTTGAGAGAAAGTTGTAAATATTATCTTATGTTATATATTTCATAAACAATAATTGTAATAGTAAAGTAATTATTTGATGGTTAAGGAGCTAGAGCATAGAGAAACATCATCATAATTATACATATATTTTAGATAGATTTTACATACTTAAATATTTAATTATAATCTTTTGAAGAAATTTCTTTATGAAGAAAAAAAAATAATACAATTTTATCTAAGAGAACCGGGCATTGAAACCAAATAGTTGTTTAATCTTTTCTCTTTGAAATGTTATATTTTATAGTTTATTTTAGATTCTACTTTTTTTCAGTGCTGTCTTGTGGCTTTATCTTTGCTCAAATTTGTAGTTAATCGTTCATTTTCTAGCATACAACCAAATCATAAGGCTAAAAAAACGACAACCTCAAACAACCAGTTTGCGTTGGCGACAACTTTGCATTCCCCTTGACGAAGAAACATTTTTGTTTTTGGTTTCATCGGGTATCGGGGTATTGGGTTTGTTGTTTCTTCGTAGATTTATTACCATTCTCCACACAATTTCTCAATAAGCAGATCATCGGGGGCTCTCGCTTCCCCAGATGGAGGATGATATGCCCCCCATAGTCGCTCTCTCGCTCACTCATGGCTCACACTTGGAGCGATTCCAATGAAATGTGTTTTCGAATAAAAATGGTCCATGCGATGCGATCGAATTTAAATTGAAAAATTTGATTTTAATTCTTGCATTTGAAATGTGTTTTCATTAACATAATTAACGTCGAATTAAATGTTTTAGTATCACTAGCCTTTCCCCCCTCCAAGCGGTCCTACATACACACTAGACTCGAATTTATTTTTTCTCGTATCGTTATTTTCGTTTGAATTGTAAAAATAAAATAAATTACATTTTACTACAAAGAAAGTTCCCCAATTACAAGGGGCAGCAACACGTTGACAGCTATTCGTCAGTCCATTAACATTGGGATTTTTGAGGTGCGTATTTTTTGGTGCTTTTTTTAGGATCCATTAAAAGTCAAACGATCTTGAACGTGTTTGTTTCTTCACTTTCGTGTATTTTTCGATCTGGGGGGTCCATCGGGGGATCGAATGGGCTGGCGAGGGGCCTGAGAGGTCTACTCGTTGATTTATGTTTGTAGCTCATTTATATTGAAATTTGATATATTTGAGCACACGCGGTCCATTTTGCAAAAGCCGCCGTCTCCACTTCGTATTTTATATTCGAATTAATTGAAATGATTGTGATCTACAACATCGTCGAGCCATAGTCCACAGGTACAGGTACATATATGGAGACTATGGATCGGTATTTATATGTCTCATGAATATCGCTTTGTCCGCGCTCTACTCTCCTTTGTCTTTGTCTCGTTTTCAGCGAACTTTTATATCATCCATATAAATTATGTGCCGGCCAGACAATAGTAACACCTCCTAAATGCTGTTGTTAACTAAGCAAAGGCCTCTGGGGCGCTAGATTTCTTTTATGTCCATGCCCTAAAAAATACATAAATGTTGTAGGGCGTCTAAATGGTTGAGGGGTTGATGTGGGAAGTGGGCGTTAAATTTTTAATTTGCATTTAATTTTGGGACATTCCTGTTTCTCTACAGTTGTCTTTGAATTTTGGAATTGAGTCATTTTGTGGATATTACTTAGTCGCTAATAGATTTTTAACAATGAGAAACCAGTAAGGGCTGGAATAGTTGAGTTTCTAGACTGTAGAGTCTAGACAATTTGATACCCGGTACTCTTCTTTCTTTTAAATGTATGGTTTTTATTATTTGTTGCGAGCTTTTGGGTGCTTTGGAATAAGCTACTGAAAAAAACATAAAACGTCTATAACTCCTAAAAAACAAAACAATTTGGCTGCATTTTTTTAAATTAGAATATATATTATAAAACCAATTGACCATGATGTCATACGATTATTTTAATAAGCGCCAAAAGTTATTATAGCACTTTATTTCCACCTTGAAAAATCCGCAACCCTAAAAAGATCGTTTAATCTTTGTGCCAAAATTTTGGAGCCCAACTTCGCATGAAATAAACTTGGCAAATCAACACATTTGTCAAGCTACACATAACACCGGACACCAGAAGGTCCAAAGACCCAGGAGAAGAAATAAACTGATTCCAACCGACTAAGGCAATTAAACGGAATCCAAATACGAACTCCGAAAGGAGAATAACCAAATCGGAGGGAAATAGAGGGGAATGAGATGCACAACTAAGTTGATCACCCGCTGACAGAAAATCACTTGGCAACGCGGCTGATCATTAACCGATAACACATGACATTAAAGAGGTTCACAAAGAAGTTTTAAACGCACACAAAATAAGATAAATACCGACCACCCCAATGAGGAGGAACCGACCTGCGAGTCTCCGGAGTTCGGACAGAAACGAGCGGAAAATTAATAGTGTGAACACGGGAGAAGAACAGGGGGATGGGAGCTGGGAATGGGGATAGGATTGGAGATGGGGTTGAGGTTGAGGTTGGAGGCAGGGTCAGGGCTGCAGGGCGGCAAGGTAGATCCGAACATCTCAGATAGGTATCAGCTTACATTGGAGCCGAGCCCCATAACGACGAGACGGTAGTAAGGAGTCGGAAATTTGTCAAAATGTCAACGGGTGAAACAGTTTTGGAATGGCCTGAGATGTCTTGGGATGGGATGCAAGGAGACCCCGTATGGGGCATCCACGTAGCTTTTGTAAAACAAACCATTAGCAGCTAATAAACATTAGTCATGCGACAAAACAAAGTTTGAGACTCTGGAGGAGCTCTCGATGATTTAGTGAGAGTAATTAAAACTTAAGTTTCCATCCCTCCGTATATACAGACCCGTATGTAAATGATCTTGCGGAATTCCACGAAAAGCTGAACCGAACCGAAAAAAACGAAAAAAAGAGTTTTTCAAACTAAGGTTGAACAAGTTTTGGTGTTTGCTGTTCTCCACCCAGGGCTTAAAACATATATCTGTGTATAATTATAATGAATCGTCTGTTTAATCGAAATTTATGCAGATCGTGGGTAACCAAAGCGAGCAGCTCGTGTTGACAGTCCAAGCACTATCAATCACCTGGCCGGAGGATGGCCTGGCCACCAATCTTGGCTCGAGAACGTGCAACTGCTACTTGTGATAAGATCGTTTTGTAAGTGATCGTCGACAAATCGCGTACAAGATTGTTGCAGCAGGCGCATTAGAAACCCTATTCGGTAATTGCCAATTAAGTATAAAATTCCACGTGAGTCCTTGTGAGTCACAGGCCTTAGTCCATGTAGCTGTAAATAAATACCACTTCATTTATTTGCTTGGCTGTCTTTCTTGAAACTCCCAGTTTCGAGATCCGGCTGTGTGTCATCCGCGGCTTGGTTTTCTTTCATTCCGCACACCCTTGATATTTATGTGGTCTTCGTCCAATCACAAATCACCCGGAGCATTTTGTTTGCACATTTTTATGGTCGCTACTGGTGCTATGCAAGTGTAGGAATCGTCTTGGCTGGAACAGGGCTTGTTCTGGTTTATAGAGTTGGCCCATAAAGACAATGCCTTTAGGGTGTCCCACTTGACCAATATTCGATCCCTCGAGAAATAATTATTGAAGATTGAAAGGTTTATTTTTTAGTGCCATTGATATCACATTTTGAATAATAGAAATTTTTTGTATGATTATCTGTTGCGTTTTCTAAATTATATATTATTGTGAGTTGTAAAATTTTTCCTTACTCATCGTTATATCTATGACTGAAGCGTCTTTAGAAAATTATATAATTATAATTAAGACCAAAATGTTCTGATAGATTTCTTATAATAGCTTTAAGTCCGATTCTTTTATAAATGTGAATTGAAATTTAGAACAATGTATTGATTGGACTCATTATAATTTTCTTGCATAATTTTCTTGATTAATTTTAAACGGAACACCTTGAAGAAATAAACAAAAAACCCCGTATCAAAGATGTTTGGGAATAAGATACGACTTCCTGATGACAGGAACAGTAGCTACTTGGCATTCTTCATCCCAGTTTGTGCATTCCATCAGATTATGTCATCTAGGCAGCAGTTCCTTCCCACACTCAGCCACGCACACACTCACTAGCCAACCAACACACACGATGCCGTGACGATCGTCTTGGCCACCTTAAGAGATGATCGCTGCGCATGCGCATAACCGTAAGATTCACACATGCCTGGGAACGGTACGAGGATGTGCGGATCTGGGATGGATGTGCTGGTGGATATGAATGCGAATGTGAGTGTGGATATGAATGTGGACGAGGAACAAGAGAAATACATTTTGAAAATTTAACGATGCGCACATTTTATTACCGCAATTAATTACAAAAACAACGCGGCCAAAAAGAAATCTTAGTCACTTTATCTGCGATGCCAGCCGGGCCTGAGCCCAGGGAGTTCTCTCCTCCGGATCCCGGAGAAAAGGGAAAACGGAGATCGCAAGAATGGGAGAATGGGAAAAGAGAGAAAGACCGGAGCGATCTGAGGGAGCGATAAGCTTTATGATAGATGTGACTAGTAAAATGCTACTACCAAATGGTTCTGGGCCGGAGATCGCAGCCCCTCTCGTAATTGGAGGCGCGACAGTTTGTCTCAGCAGTCAAACCTGGTTAATTGGAGAGCCGGGCCGTCCGGAGAGCTACCTGTCCGGGAAACCTGTTTCTTGGCCAATTAAAATCGAGAGATAGGGAGAGAGCCAGGCCTCAGACCTGGCCCAGAGACTTCGACGGCTGCTGTGCGCCGTGAGCCCAAGACATTTCGAGTTTCGACGCGCAGCGCGACAGTTACCGCTACGAAACGTCTCCAGCTTAAATCTCAACGAAATCGGTTTTGGCCAACGGTCTTCGAGCGATATTCCGGCGAGGCGGAGAATGGGTTTCAAGCACGCTATGTTGCAGCGAAGTTACGAGCTGTCGCCCTCACCGGCACGCACTTCACCCACCAACGCCTCCACCAGCACCACCCACGATGGGGTCCCACCACCCCAGGCAGCCCAGCCGCCGGTCCAAGTTACGGACTTCAGTATCAGTAGGATTTTGGGCAAAGAGCGTAAGCCAGCTCAGGATACCAGTGCGAATATTTTGGATCTGTCGAAGAGTAGCAGCACCAGTAACAGTAGCATTATTCCGCCCCAGGTGGGCGTGCCTCAAACCCTATCCTTGCCCACATCGCCCTATGGCGGCTATTCCATGCTACCACCGGATCTGGTGGCCATGGCAAACGCCACAAAGTTTTATGACCAGTTCTTTCCACACCTGCTGCCTGCTTATGCGGCAGCGGCTGCGGCGGCAGGACTCAGTACTCCACCCACTTCTCCCTACCAGCAAGGACACCCTGTTCAACCGGTGCAACCACTTCCACCACCCCAGCAGAAACGATACTTTGCCCCCTATGTGATCAATAACCAAGGATCTCAGCAGCCACAACATCCGCTCCTGCGGCCCAAGGCCACCGCCTGCACTCGCCCAGACTGCCGGGAGTGCCTAGACTACTATCAAAGGCTGCAAGCTGGCTACAAGTCTACCACGCCCCTGATATCACCCGCCGCCTCGTCCGTCAGTAGCTCCAGCAGCTCCATGCGACCCGTGAGGGATCTGATTATGAGCGCCGCCGGAGGATCCACCACCAGCACCAACATCTCGCTGACCACTGTCACCAATCTGAGCCTCAGCTCGAGCCAGAACACAACCGTCGGATTGATGCCAAAAATACCAGGAATAGCCGTCGGAAGTGGCGGCGCAGCTATTCCTACCGCCAGTATCTATAGTCCCACTTCCGCCGAGGAAATCAGCTACAAGTGCCGGATATGCGAGAAGGTCTTTGGATGCTCCGAAACTTTACAGGTAGGAAATGAAAATATTTTTAAATTGGATAAGAAAAATTTGCAAATATCCAAATGTTTGAAACATTAAACTCTTCTCAAATTTATTTCAATGAAGCTCCTTTTTTTAAAAACTGAATAATTTTTAGTTAGGAAACCCCTTTAGTTGTAGAAAAAAGGATTAGGTTTTACCGTATAGTTTTCAGTTATTGCCATTCCCTCTATTTTGAATGTAATTCCTTTAGTGGGTATAGTTTAAAGTTTAAAGCTATAGATTTTAAAATCGCATAATGCTACTTAAAAATTAAAAACGTTCTAGTGACGTTCTTCATATGCTCAAAAAGATATGAACAATGCTTAAGAATAATAGCTTTTTACCAGGATATTAAATATTGACCTACAACTTTTTTATGAAATATTTACTCTCTATACAATCACTTTATTTTCAAAATATCCCTCAAAATGCTTAATTCGTAATTTGAAATTCTCATTACGTGTTGATCCTTGTGTTAATTGTTTTTTAAAAAGCCAAAGGTTTATTTTTTTTATTGCTGATATTATTTACATTTTTGCACCTAATTCAATATTTTTTCACCTAATAGTTTCTTTAAATTGTTTAATTTTCTATGTTCAAAATATAAATGTAAACTTTCTATTTAAATACCAATAGCTATCGTATTTAAAAACCTCTATTGCAGTAAATTTCTGTCTCAAAGCCCCAGGTGTTAAACGCTCATTTAAATGTCACATATTGTAAGTAATTATAATTTATAATTGGGCTAAAATGCTATTTAATTAGACAAATTTCTGCGAAACACATTCCTTGCTTAATTTTGATACCCACATAAATTCATGAGAACATCAGTAACCTTTCACATGGCAGTTCATCAAATGAAATATCATTTACCCAATCCTCCAATACAAGACCCCCAAGGGATCCTCCGAAAACGAGTTCCTACACAACCTGCAAGGGGCGGGGCTTAGCTGATCGAGAGCCAGAGACATCAAGTCAAAAGGGGCGGAGTCCCAAAGAGCAAAAGGTAGAGAGAAGATTCGAGAATTGAGCACCTTATGCAAATCTTTTTACTTTGGCTGAGACTCGTTCAAAATGGAGTCGGCCGAAAACAGAAGCGAGCGGGGCCAGAACTGGTTTTACGCATGGGTGCAGGGCCCCGACTGCCTGGTATTGCTGGGCATTAGAAAGAGAGGGAATGTGGTAGTGAAAAGAAGAGAGCAACAAAATGGCCACGGGGAAAATTATAGTATTTTCAACGTAAAAAATCCAATTTTTAAAAAAGTTAGAGACAAAAAAACTATTCATTAAAGAAAAAAAAGTTCCATTATTGAAACCACTATTTCATTTATTTCCTTGCAGGCTCATGAAAAGACACACAAATCCCCCCGCTACGAGTGCTCGGACTGCGGAAAGGGCTTCTCTCAGTTGAGGAACTACAAGTACCACCTCTCGGTGCATCGTGGCACCAAGGAGTTTGCGGCAGAGTGCCCCGAATGCGGAAAGACCTTCAACGACAAGGGGTACCTCAGTAGCCACATGAAGATCCATCGGAATCGCAAGGAGTACGAGTGCCCCTACTGTCCCAAGTCTTTCAACCAAAGGGTGGCCTTCAACATGCACGTAAGGATCCACACGGGAGTGAAGCCGCACAAATGCGCCGAATGCGGCAAGAGGTTCTCCCGGAAAATGCTCCTGAAACAGCACATGCGTACCCACAGCGGTGAGAAGCCCTACCAGTGCTCCGTGTGCGGCAAATCCTTTGCAGACCGGAGCAACATGACCCTGCACCACCGGCTGCACTCCGGCATTAAGCCCTTCAGCTGTCCCCTGTGCCCGAAGGCCTTCACCAAGAAGCATCATCTGAAGACGCACCTGAACTACCACACGGGCTGCAAGCCATACATCTGCCCGCATCCCAATTGCAATCAGGCCTTCACCCAATCCAGTAACATGCGGACCCATGCCAAAAAGTGCCAGTACCGCCCGCTGGACGGAGCCACCGCAGCGCCCCTGCCAGTAACTGCGCAGGTGCAACTGCAGGTGCCAAGCTCACTGGCATTGGCCATGGCGGCGACTCCAACATTCGTGATGCCTCCGCCACCTGGACCACCCCTGGCACCTCCGCCGGCCCAGCAAACCCTGCTCAGCAATCTGCGTACTTTCTGAGGACCAAGATATGCAAAGGGGTAGGGTCAGGATTAAATAGTTTCAACCAAAAGTGTAGCATTTACCAAGAATACTTAGTTCTTCCATTATTTTTAGAAATATGAAATGTACATACTTTCAAAAATACTTGATTAGTTTTAGCTTTTTATTTTTAATCATATTGTAACAATTTTCTTGGAATGATTTGAGTTACAATATCCATGCGATTATCTAGATAAATTTAGCAAAAATCATAATATTTTGTTTTGTATTTAAAATAAATAATTAAATATATTGCATAATTTTAAAAGCTATTTAAACATCTTTCATTTATTGGAAACGTTTGAGGTTATTTTTACAAACGAATGTTAAATATTTCAACTTTATATGGCGTAGGCCATATCTTAGGAAATATTCATCCGATTCTTGAGCGGAATAGTTTAAACGATTTGTGGATCGATTCTCCATAAATCTGCATCAAAATCTGGGAACAAAATATTTTTAAGATTTTTTGTCAAATTTTCTGGGCTGTCCCCTTCAAAATGTGCAAAATGCATGGGGAGCCCCATATGACCCACTGCGAAGGCCATATCTTGGGAAATATTCATCCGATTCTTAAACGGAATACCTTAAACGATTTGTGGATCGATTTTCCATAAATCTGCATCAAAATCTGGGAAAAAAATATTTTTAAGATTTTTTGTCAAATTTTCTGGGCTGTCCCCTTCAAAATCTGCAAAATGCATGGGGAGCCCCATATGACCCACTGCGTAGGCCATATCTTAGGAAATATTCATCCGATTCTTAAACGGAATACCTTAAACGATTTGTGGATCGATTTTCCATAAATCTGCATCAAAATCTGGGAACAAAATATTTTTAATATTTTTTGTCAAATTTTCTGGGCTGTCCCCTTCAAAATCTGCAAAATGCATGGGGAGCCCCATATGACCCACTGCGTGTGCCATATCTTAGGAAATATTCATCCGATTCTTGAGCGGAATACTTCAAACGATTTGTGGATCGATTCTCCATAAATCTGCATCAAAATCTGGGAACAAAATATTTTTAAGATTTTCTGTCAAATTTTCTGGGCTGTCCCCTTCAAAATGTGCAAAATGCATGGGGAGCCCCATATGACCCACTGCGTAGGCCATATCTTAGGAAATATTCATCCGATTCTTGAACGGAATACCTTAAACGATTTGTAGATCGATTCTCCATAAATCTGCATCAAAATCTGGGAACAAAATTTTTTAAAGATTTTTTGTCAAATTTTCTGGGCTGTCCCCTTCAAAATGTGCAAAATGCATGGGGAGCCCCATATGACCCACTGCGTAGGCCATATTTTAAGAAATATTCATCCGATTCTTGAACGGAATACCTTAAACGATTTGTGGATCGATTCTCCACAAATCTGCATCAAAATCTGGGAACAACATTTTTTTAAGATTTTTTGTCAAATTTTCTGGGCTGTCCCCTTCAAAATGTGCAAAATGCATGGGGAGCCCCGTATGACCCACTGCGTAGGCCATATCTTAGGAAATATTCATCCGATTCTTGAACGGAATACCTTAAACGATTTGTGGATCCATTCTCCATAAATCTGCATTAAAATCTGGGAACAAAATATTTTTAAGATTTTTTGTCAAATTTTCTGGGCTGTCCCCTTCAAAATGTGCAAAATGCATGGGGAGCCCCGTATGACCCACTGCGAAGGCCATATCTTAGGAAATATTCATCCGATTCTTGAACGGAATACCTTAAACGATTTGTGGATCCATTCTCCATAAATCTGCATTAAAATCTGGGAACAAAATATTTTTAAGATTTTTTGTCAAATTTTCTGGGCTGTCCCCTTCAAAATGTGCAAAATGCATGGGGAGCCCCGTATGACCCACTGCGTAGGCCATATCTTAGGAAATATTCATCCGATTCTTGAACGGAATACCTTAAACGATTTGTGGATCGATTCTCCATAAATCTGCATCAAAATCTGGGAACAAAATATTTTTAAGATTTTTTGTCAAATTTTCTGGGCTGTCCCCTTCAAAATGTGCAAAATGCATGGGGAGCCCCATATGACCCACTGCGAAGGCCATATCTTAGGAAATATTCATCCGATTCTTGAGCGGAATACCTTAAACGATTTGTGGATCGATTCTCCATAAATCTGCATCAAAATCTGGGAACAAAATATTTTTAAGATTTTTTGTCAAATTTTCTGGGCTGTACCCTTCAAAACACCCTTCAATGTACCCTGAAAAAATTTTGCCCACTGGGCCTTTTTCCTTAAATCCGCCACTGATTTCAAGTCTCAAGTTAGGTTTTTTAAAATATATTAAGTCTTGAAGTAGTTGTGGTGTTCCCTTTGATGTAAATGTCACAATAAGAAACCTCATCTAGTTTTCGGGTAGTTCATTTCAGTCCCAATCTGAACAGCAACAAAAACGAATATTTCGGAAAAATATTAAAAGTAGCAAGTTCTCTTTTTAAAAGGTAAAAATATCATATTCTCAACCGATTTATAATTATTATTATAATTATTATTTTTAGCTTTAATTCAAAATGAATAACATTACCTTTCGCGAGTTCAGTCCAGAGGCCTATGTAAGGTCCCTCAATCTTTATAGAACTAATGACATGCAGACTTGGAGTCGCAATCCTCCATATGCTCCTTTCTTTGGAGCCATGGGTGTGGCGTGTGCCATGGTGTTTACTTCGATCGGAGCTGCTTATGGAACCGCTGTCTCTGGAACCGGAATCGCTGCGACGGCCGTAATGCGTCCGGAACTGGTGATGAAGTCAATTATTCCCGTGGTTATGGCCGGTATAGTGGCCATTTACGGATTGGTGGTTTCTGTGTTGCTGTCGGGCGAACTGGATTCGGCTAGGACATATTCATTGGCCAAGGGATATGTCCATCTTGGTGCTGGACTGGCTGTAGGATTTTCTGGACTGGCTGCCGGATATGCCGTAGGGGAGGTAGGCGAAGTTGGCGTGCGCCACATTGCCCTGCAGCCCCGCCTCTTCATTGGAATGATACTGGTCCTTATTTTCGCTGAGGTATTGGGACTTTATGGGCTAATTATTGGAATATATCTCTACACAGTGGATGTTAAATAAATATAAATGATTATAATACAATTAAAATCAGTTGAGCACTATTAAAGAAATCACAAAGTTTTTTTTTCTGCCCTACACTAGCGAAAAAACCAAATGTTATTAAGAAATGTATACAGAAAATAAGGTTTTTATTAAATATTGGTTCATCCCAAGAAAATAATACCACTCAGATGCATTTTTAATTGATAATTTGTTGCTTATTCGTAGTATCTATAATTTAAAATCCAGTTTTGAAATGGAGCTTTTAATTTTTGTTCGTTAAATTTGTGACTTTTTAAAGCATTTTCTTAAAACACCGATAACATTTTATAAAATAGTAAACGATTTAAGTTTTTTCTTGTTTAAATTTCGATTTTTTTTTTAAATTTCGATAGATTATTCGATATGTTTTCTCGGGGAAATTCGCGTAGCCAGCTCTGGTCACACTGACCAGGTGAGAAGCTATTTTTTTTTGTTAGAAATTACTCATTTTGGGAAATAAACGACGCAAAAAGCGCCAAAAAAAGCGGAATAGTTCGTGGAAAAAGTCCGGCGGAGGAGCGTCCACCTCGCGACACCGGCCTCCAACAAAATTTGACCAAGCGAAGCTTTCGGTCCGTCCAATTTCATCACGAATACAATTTCATCAGTGCACACGTGTCTGGAGCTTCGCTTGGATTCCTGCCCCGCGGGGCTGGGTCAGGCCCAGTGGCTTTTAACATCTAGCGATCGGAGAAATTTCCAGCCAGAACCAAACAACTGGACAGGCTGAGCACGCCGCAGGAGCAAAGGCAGGCGGAGGAGGCGCTGCTGGCCAGTGGTAGTGATAGATACAGAGGCGGCGGCAGCGGAACACTTTCCACAGCCATGGCGGAGTACTGGCAGCAGCTAACTAATGGCGGGGGTGGCGGTGGCGGAAGGGGAGCAGCCGCCAGTGACTCACCGGTGGCATGCAACGGGAGCGGTCCTGAGGCTGTGTCCCACAGCGGCGGCGGCGGCGGCAATAACAACTATGTGAACTTCAATCAGTTCATCATGCAACACAACCTTGGAGGAGGCACGCCCAATGCCTCAAACTCAAGTCCCGGCTACATGCAACATCCCTTGGACAGCGGGAACAACATGAACTTTGCCATCAGCGGAGGCGGAGGAGCCTTCGGCCTAAATCCACCAACAACAGCTACGAACTCTAACAATATCGAGCATGTAAGTAGTCAGGCTGAAGTGCCGGCAAGACTATCTTTCTAAAACCATAAATAGTTCTTTTCACAGCCTGTATTCCCACGATATCAAAACGGCGACGGAATCGCCAGTGCCGGCTTCACTAATAGCTTTGATTTGGGAAACCCTAACAACGGCAGCAGCAGCAGCAGTACCTTTTCGAACCTCTACACGCCGTTTGGCAACAATCCGTTCGACTTCAGCGCTTCCAAGTTGCAGGCCTCGGCGCCCGAATTCGTGCCTAATCTGGCCAAGCTGAGTCTAGAGGAGGCTCCAGTGGCCACGACAAACGGAAACAGCACTGCCAGCCCCGAAACTGCCATAAAGGAGATGGAGATACCAGCTAGAGCGGGAGCAGCGAAAGTGGGAGCACCTGGAGGCGTGGGTGCAGCAGGAGGAGCGGCCCGACCAGAAGAGAGAGGCCCCAACAGCTTCCGTCAAAACCAGAACTACGAGAGGGAGCGGGAAAGGGACCGAGATCGCGAGAGGGATCGGGATCGACCGCGACAGCAGCGTCGCTCGGACTACCGCGAGGATCGTGAAGATCGCTATCAGAGGAACGATCGGGATCGTGACCGAGATCGGGATCGGGACAGGGACCGGGACCGGGACCGGGATCGCGATCGCAAGAAGCCGCAAAAGCAGCAGCGCTACGACAATCATCGCAGCAACAAGCGGCGCGATGACTGGAACCGCAACAGGGATCGAATCAACGGATATCCAAGGGCCGTCGACGACTTGGACACGAGCAACGAGAGTGCCCAGCCCTCGCCCGAAAAGCAGCCGCAACATCAGCAAATCTCGCCGAGACGAAACCATCCACCGCCGGCGGATAATGAAAAGCTATCGCAGAGGGAGAAGCTAATCCGCGACATTGAGCAGAGGCGGCTCGAGTGCTTGGTGTGCGTGGAAGCCATCAAAGCGCACCAGCCGACATGGTCGTGCCAGAACTGTTACCACGTTCTGCACCTCAAGTGCACCACCACCTGGGCGAGCAGCTCCAAATCGGAAGTGGGCTGGCGTTGTCCGGCGTGCCAGAATGTGCTGCAGGAGCTGCCGCGCGAGTATCTCTGTTTCTGCGGCAAGCTGAAAAACCCGCCGGTCTCGCGGTCCGAATTGCCGCACAGCTGCGGCGAGGTGTGTTGCCGGATCGAGGGATGCAGTCATGCCTGTACCCTGCTCTGTCACCCGGGCCCATGCCCACCGTGCCAGGCCAATGTGGTTCGCAGCTGTGGATGCGGACGCAGCACCAAGACGATGCAGTGCGCCATGAAGGAGGATCTGCTGTGCGGCGAGATCTGCGACAAGCTGCTCAACTGCGGCGAGCACCGGTGCAAGTCGGAGTGCCATGCAGGAAAGTGCGCTGCCTGCTTGGAGCAGGTGGAGCAGCACTGCCACTGCGGCAAGCAGGACCGCCAGGTGACCTGTACGCGCGAGAGCCAGGACAAGCGAAGCTACTCGTGCAAGGAGAGCTGTGGCAAGCCCCTGCCGTGCGGCAATCACAAGTGCAAGGACTCTTGCCACGCTGGAAGCTGCAGGTATTTATGATTTTAGAATATTTTTAAATGTGGAGGTGGACTTCATCCATTCCGTGAAGGTCAAAACGTGATCCAACTTAGATTAGATAAGCTTGGCGAGCATTGATTTCATTTTTAAACAGAATTCTTATTGGTCATGTCTACTTTTAGGCCCTGTAAGCTGAGCCCCGACCAGATAACCAGCTGCCCCTGTGGCAAGATGCCTGTGGCGGCCACCCAGCGCACCAGCTGCCTGGACCCCATCCCCACCTGCGAGGGAATCTGCTCGCGGGTCTTGCGCTGCGGCAAGCCGGCCCATCCCCATCAGTGCGGCAGCAAGTGCCACCTGGGCCAGTGTCCACCTTGTCCCAAGCAGACGGCGGTGAAGTGCCGCTGCGGCCACATGGACCAGATGATCAAGTGCCGCCAGCTGTCCACCAGAGCGGACGACGCTCGCTGCAAGCGCCGCTGCACCAAGAAGCGGAGCTGCGGCAAGCACAAGTGCAACGCCGAGTGCTGCATCGACATCGACCACGCTTGTCCGCTGCCCTGCAACCGGACCCTGAGCTGCGGCAAGCACAAGTGCGACCAGCCCTGCCATCGCGGCAACTGCCCGCCCTGCTACCGCAGCAGCTTCGAGGAGCTCTACTGCGAGTGCGGAGCAGAGGTTATCTACCCGCCGGTGCCGTGCGGCACCAAGAAGCCCCTCTGCAAGCGTCCGTGCTCGCGATCGCATCCATGCGAGCATCCGCCGCAACACAATTGCCACTCGGACGCCACTTGTCCGCCCTGCATGCTGTTCACCACCAAGTCTTGCCACGGTGGCCACGAGCAGCGCAAAACCATTCCCTGCTCCCAGGAGAGCTTCAGTTGTGGAATGGCCTGTGCGAAGCCGTTGGCTTGTGGTCGCCACAAGTGCATCAAGCCGTGCCACGAGGGCGCCTGCCAGGCAGCCGGCGACGTTTGCCGTCAGAGCTGCACCAAGCCTCGTCCCACTTGCGGCCACAAGTGCTCAGCACCCTGTCACGAGGGCTCCTGCCCCGAAACGCCCTGCAAGGAGCTAGTGGAGGTACAGTGCGAGTGCGGCAACCGGAAACAGAGTCGCAGCTGCCAGGAGCTGGCTCGCGAGCACAGTCGCATTGCCACGGCTCAGCTGGCCTCATCCATGGCGGAGATGTCCCGGGGAAACTACATGGAGCTCAGCGAGATCTTGGCTCCCTCCAAGGCCAGCAAGTCCAATCGAACGTAAGTGATAAGTCATGCAATTTATTATTTTGTTAATAATTTATTTAAAAACTATGACTCAGCTTGGACTGCAACGATGAGTGCCGACTGTTGGAGCGCAATCGTCGCCTTGCCATGGCACTATCGTCTCGAAATCCAGAGGCTCAGCAAAAGTCCCTGACTAAGTACTCGGAGTTCGTGAAAGGATTCGCTAAGAGGAACCCGGTGCTGACCAAGAGCGTATACGAAACGTTGAGCGACCTCGTTAAGCTGGCCAAGGAGAGCAAGCAGCGGTCCCGCAGCCACTCTTTCCCGACCATGAACCGGGAGAAGAGGCAGTTGGTGCACGAGCTATGCGAGATATTCGGGATAGAATCTGTGTCCTACGACAAGGAGCCCAACCGAAATGTTGTAGCCACGGCGCACAAGGAAAGGGTAGGCTTTAAACCTTATACTTGTGTAATTTAGTAACTAAATCTTTATTTTCTTTGTAGTGCTGGTTGCCCGCCACTAGTATCATGGAAGTCCTGGCTCGGGAGTCAGGACAGAGACGCGTCCCTGTACCCAGCAACAATGCATGGAGCTTAAAGAAATAGAACTGTTTTGGTTGGAGATGTCAAGAGTACAGATATTTTGTATGTTGAGTCGTTGGCGCTGGATATGATGATATTTTAAAAGGTGATGAAATAATGAAATTCTACTGGAACCGCAAGCGCTGCGAGGACAATACACAACATAACCACAAAAATAATAGCCAGTTGCAAGGATGACCGTTTTCACATATATTTTGTAAATTATAAAGAAAGTTAGTTGAGCCATAGAGTGCATGAATGTTGAATACTGAATGAAGTGAACCATAGATATGCCGCAGCCGCAGTTATGAATAATGCTGTTAACCCATCTGTTGTATGAATTTATCTAATATTGAAATCTTCTGACCGTGTTGCAGCTAATAAACAAAAGAAAAGGGTCATAAAGTGAAAAAATAAACAAGAAAATAGTGCAGAGGGCAAATAACTTGTTTTATTTTGGAAAGGGATATTTTAGATTACTCAAAAGAGTTGAATACTTTTCAATGGAAAGT